AAAGACCTCCCTCATCAGGTGGTCACATGGTTCTTCTGGTGGTGGACGTGCTGCAAATGGAGCCAGTAATCCAGCCTCTGAGCTTCCAGGCTGTCTGATAACACACCTCACACACAGACTTGTTCTCATCACGTTCCATAGTTTTGCATTCAGTTGCCCCTTTTCTCTGTGGAGGAGAGCGCATGGGCTTTTATACTTTTATAGGAGAGCTTTTCCCCATCTTATCTGACTTTATTTTATCCCTTTTATATTATGTGTATTTTACTAATTTTATATTAATTTTTCATGCTCTTATATTGTTTTTTTGTATTATTCTTTACACTTGTTAAATCACTTTGAAACTTGTTTTTGAAAAGTGCTCTACAAATAAGGATTATTATTATTATTATTATTATTATTATTATGGGCAAAACTCTGGACCATGTTTTAAAAAAAGGGATTTAAACAATAACATCAAACAACAAGGAACGAGCAGGCGGCATTCTTTTCCTGTAGAAATGGGGTCAGTCTGTTAGCGTGCATCACATTTTATCATCAACACGGCAGCAGCTCACAAAGAAACATCCAGCATAACATACAGCAACAGACACAGCAAGCAACACGACAATAAGCACCAGGCATCTGGTTTGCTTCCAAGATGTAGTGTCAGAACAGGTCATGTGATCGTCCTTCGGTCAAGTCAAGTGAAAACGTAGGTCAGGTCTTTGTCGTCCCCGAGTACAGGTAGACTATAGAGAGCCATGTCAGTCAGTGAGGCTCTGTCAGCTCAGCTTCGTCAGTTCAAGTCAGTCAAGTGCACTGTTAGTTCACCATGAATCATGGGAGAAAGCTTTCTCTCTCTGTTCAGTCTTTGTCAGTAATGGGATCCCTTGTCCATAAAATCATCATCACCTCTTTATGGTGATTGGTTTTGGCTTGTATGCATTGGGAGAGAGAGCTTTACTCTCATCGTGATCACATTCCCAGAGAAGTTATTCTGTCTAGTCCAGTTGCAGTTAGAGACAGACAGACAGCCTTGTGTGTGGCCATTGTGGGCTAAACGCTTTAGCAACACAATGGTCGTCTCAGCACGCTTCTATGGAGGACCGATCCTGACACAGGCAGAAATAAATACAGAAATAAATAAATGCTCAATAAATAAATAAGCATCCAATTAAATACACACAAAAATAAAGTAAATAAATAAATGTAGGTAGTAATTAAATTATAGAAGGAGACATAAATGTACATATTGTAATTACTGCCTTTACTTATTCACCTTTGTTATAATGACCTTATTTATTTATTCTCTGTTATAATCTTCAACTTTATTTATTAATGACTTATTTTTTAAATGTATTTATTTATGTGTGTGTTTTAATATTTGTTTTATTCTACCTTTGTATTTTTTACCTTATTTATTTTCACCCATGGTATTTATTTCTGCCTGTCCTTTTTACATTTCTGTATGCATTTCTGCCTCATTATGCAAATGAGGAGGGGCTGTGTCTCAAGGGGTCATCTTCTCTGCTATTGGTGGACCAGTCAGACAGGAGAGCTCCTACTCTGCCTGCAGACATCAACGAGCTGCTCCTAGGTCTGTGTGAGTGTGTCTATGTTTGTGTGTGCAGTGGGCGTCACTCATTAGTGCTCTGATAACTGAAACAAGTGTTTAACAACTATGTCATCAGAATTCATCAACATGATACCATATATGCAACCTGCCCCTCTCTGGGGCTGTTTTCAACACATCATGTAGCAGCATTGTCCCCTGCTAGGTTTAAATTACAGTTTCTAAAACTCTTGGTGCTTATCATTCATCACCAATGTAGGCTGCTCAGCATTCACTAATAAATTAATATAATATTTGTGTTTAAGATTTTATTTTTCTGTGAGAAATTGTGACTCACCCGGTGTGTGTGTGTCCCAGCTGTTTCCTGTCACTGCCGTCCGTCCCGCCCCCTCCAGCTCAGTCCATTTGGATCTGTTTTGGATCTGTCCAGACAATCTCTGTGTACCAGTGTCCACCTTTGTCCACTGTACTGTCCGTTTTCTCGTACTGTGATGGCTTAGAACAGAGTTTTTGATGGCTATTTTCTCACCTTTGTCCTCTTTGTGTGAATCTTCAGCTTGCAGGTCCTCTCGTCTGTCAGTAAGACGCTGTGAAATTTAGCATCTTTGTTCCAACAGCAGTTTCTGGCCTTGTCTGAGAACATGTTCTTTTCCGATAAACATTATTTCAGACCGCTGTGACCATAAGGTGATGATCGTGTGAACTTGGAGAGCTCTACATGATCTATTCTTGAATGCAAACATGTTGTTGTGATTGGCCTGCAATTATCCAGTGATGACATCGCTGTACTGAGTCCATTCTGTGCTCCAGCCTACTTTCTTGTGAAGCTAGCGTGAAGTATTTTGTTGAGATTGTAGAACCGGTTGTCCAAAGTGAATGTAAATGCTCCGTACTTGTAAGTAACTTGTTGTTGTTTGAGCTGGTTTGGGACTCAGCTGTCTTTGTTCAGTCATTATGGCATCCTTTGATAAACGGTCCAAACTGCTCCAATTGCATGTGAGGCTGTCGCTTCAACAATGTTCCAAATACCAAATATTCCTTTTATAATTGGCATTTCCATGACTGGGCAATACGATGTGTTGCATTACTGTTACCGGACCAGAACAGTGCTTCTGTAGGTCTTTAATGTTGCATTAGTTCATCATCTCTCTCTGGCTTATGGTGTCATGTTTCAGCAGCAGTTTTAACATCAGCATAGTCTTCATCCTTGGCTGGATCTAAGACTGGAGCGTATCGGAGGAGGAGGAGCGGAGTCCAGGACTGGATCAGCCGGAATGGAACACTGGTCTATTCTGATGAAGCATGCAGGGTGAAACAGTAAACACAGTAAAATATCACATTTCCATCACACCCTCCATGTAGCTGGTCGTCATAGCGACGCCACACACAACTGCTGCGACGTAATGTTCAGTGCGACCCACAAACAGCTGTCTCTTGATTTAAGTTAAAACGTTTCAACATTCCTCAGAAGGTAAAGACAGATAAGCGGTATGAAAACCTTCCAGCTGTGTTTTCCTCTGCCGTAGTTGCTGCAGCGGTCTGTGTCTCCGAAAACTTTCAAGCACAGTTTTGTTCCGCCATCACTTCTCGTAAAACTGTCAATATTCAAAATCTACACAGCTGATTTCTCACCTCAAAACTCCTCTGAAGTGGATTTAGTGATGAAATTCCATAAGAAAACAGTAAAATATAAAACTTCCTGTTGCTGGCCTCTGTCTGGCGCACGCAATGATGATGCAGTGAATAGTGACGATTCTCTCTGACCAATCAGCAGTCTGCTGTGTTTTCACGTCACATTTTAGGATCGCCTCAGCTCGCTTGGAACCTCAACAGAGGTGATACAAAAAAGTATCTAGAAGCAGGTACAGGTCCGACTTTTCCACAGTGGAAAACCAAACAAAGGCGAGTCGAGCTGGTACTGTGCAGTGGGAACGAGGCTTTTATCTCCATTTCATCTTCTATCGGTGTTTCCTCTATATGCATTCACCAACGGCGGTGCGCTGCTGCTGAATCACGACTGCGCTACAAATGTTTTCACTGGCACACTGTGCGAGCACGGCAGCACTCAACGCTCGGCTCGCTTCCTCTCCTCGTTCTATGCAGAACATACAGATGCTGTTATAAGAGCAGCGTAACTCTGAATCAGGAGGTGCGCAGCGAGTGTGTGACTGTCCGAGCGGCAGGAAGTGACGCTGAACGCGAGCGGAGGAAAATATTCTGCCAGTAAATGTCCGGTGTCTGTTACAGCGTGTCGGCTTCTCAAGACCAGAAAAGTCTGTTGTTTCCCAGCTGCTGGAAAAGTGAAGCCGGTTAGCGCTAAGTTAGCCAACATCTCCCCTTCAGACTGAGCAGCTTCTACAGCAGCTACAGAGCTGCTCTGTAACTTAACTTTAGCTGGAAGCTGGATTTTATTACTGCCTACTTGTCCAATGTTGAGAACATCAGGTACAAACTGAGAGTAAACTGGTGCAGCCTGCAGCTCCGTCCTGTACAGACTGATTCAATTCTTTTTCAGTTTTCAGTTGGAAAAGAAAGGACGGAGGTGACTGGAGGAGCTGAGGTCAGTAAAGCTAATTAGTGATGCAAACTCGTCCTTTTAAGCTGATGAGGAGACGTTTCTGTTTGGATGTTAATGTGCAAATAAAATGCACCTCAGAAGGGAGGAGGTTTCTCACGCTGCCTATTTTTATATTAATGTCTACAGATAAATGTCAGAAGCTGTGAAATGAAGACACAAACATGAACAGTCGTATCTAGAATGATTCTGATCACATTAACAGGGTTTTAGGGGTGATGCCCAAAACATGCTGTGCCCTCACTGTAAAATCACTGTGGAGCAACAGAACCAACCAAATGACTTTCTCCAGATCTAAAGCTTGTAGTTCCTCCAGCAGGCTGATCTTTGGCTGTTGGTTATTTATTATCTTTTCCAACTATTTGTTCAGAGATATGGTGAAAATAACGGCCCAATATGATGTGAAATTACATATTTTTCATTAGAGGAAGACCTCCAAACGCCCCGACCAACACCAAAACATTCATCTAAAGCTCACATTAAACTGGGAAAACACTGCAGTTTTAAGCTGTTCTAAGGTGCATCACATGCTCATGGACACAAGAACTAAAATTTTGCTACTATTCCATCCTAGGAGAAACACTGTTCTATTATCTCTCCAGACTCTGTCAGGCTGCTGGACGGGACTAGTCTGTGCTCAGGCAGACTGGAGGTGAAGTCTAACCAGTCTAACCAGTCTAACCAGTGGTGGTCCTCAGTGTGTGAAGCTGACTTTGACCAGCAGGATGCAGAGGTGGTCTGTAGGGAGCTCGGCTGTGGGGCTCCTTCAGTCCTCCAGGGGGCGCTCTATGGAGAAGTGGAGGCTCCGATGTGGACCAAAGAGTTCCAGTGTGGAGGCCATGAGTCTGCTCTCCTGGACTGTAGAAGCTCAGGCTCAGCTAGAAACACCTGCTCACCTGGAAAAGCTGTTGGACTCACCTGCTCAGGTAGAAGAGGAGCTGCAGCTTTGATTTGCTTCATTTCTCTTCTGATGAAACTCACTTGTTTTACTGATGACTCTCTGGTTTCTGTTCAGAGCCTGTCAGGTTGGTGGGAGGAGCCAGTCGCTGTGCAGGAACACTGGAGGTGAAACAGGGACACTGGAGACCAGTGATTTACTTTGACTGGATCCTGAAGACAGCAGCTGTTGTCTGTAGAGATCTGGACTGTGGCTCTGCTGTTTCTGTAGGACAGAGAGAGGAGTCCTCAGACATGCCTGTGTGGTGGATCAGCTCTGACTGTGTTCAGTCTGGATCTGCTCTGAGGGAGTGTGTAAGATCATATTCCTCTCTCTTCATCCTGGATCTCACCTGCTCAGGTAAGCCCATCAGTGACATGATCTATGACATCATGTATGACAGTAATGTCTCCAGTGTGTCCTCTCCTCTGTCTCAGTGTCTCAGTGGTTTCCATTGGACTGAACTGTAAAGTTCTCCACAGTGACGTCCTAAAGTGTAGAGAGGTGGGCTTGTTTCTGGAAGCTTCACCTGACAGGACACACCTGGAGGAACCTGTCTGTCTGTCTGTCTCTGTGTTTGGGGACGTCCCACCAGGTGGATCCAGTCCCTCCTTTTACAGTCTGTCATCGCTCTGCTCCATGTTTGTTACCCGTGTCAGACCTGTGACATCACTTCCTTTTTCAGGGGCCATTTTGTTTACTGACTCTACTGTCAGTGGTGACGACACCATCTCCTTGGACTGTAGCCAGCTCCACATATCACACCAGAAGGACTGCACAAACTCACAATAAAAAAACATGTGATATCAAAATCAGTCCCATTCATACCGCCATCTTCATAGTTTTAACCATGTCAGTCTTCCTTATATAACGGAATTTATTTCTCCACATGAAGTTAAAATTGATTGTATTCACTGCTTTGATCATACTCACTGATATGGGTAAGGAGAAAGCCGGGTAAATGAGTCTGGACAAACTATCCGTTGTAGAAAGTAGAACCCTTCCTAAGATTGTGACATCGCTCTGCAGCCACCTATTTAGAATTGACTTACATTTGTCTGATTCCACGTATTCATATAGCCAATTCTTCTTTTCCCTTTGGAAATAACAATTCCCAAGTATTTAACCTGCTTCTTAATTTTTATATTATGTAGTGACTGCAGAGGATAATCATGTAAGGTTATCATTTCACATTTATCTACGTTCAACTGTAAGCCTGAGGCCTTAGAAAACTGGCTGATCGTCTGTAACGCTAAAGGGATTCGATTTTCATCCTTTCAAAATAAAGTTGTGTCATGAACAGAGGGTGAATGAGACCTTTCATCATCTGTGTTTACAGACCTGCTGCTTCAGCCCAACATCTCTGTGTCCTCCTCCGTGAACGGGGTCTCCGAGGCCCAGCAGCAGGGGTTTCAGGTGTCCAGGGGCTCCACCTTCACCATCAGCTGCTCCATCCAGCCACAGTACCCAGGAGGCTCCTTCCAGCTCGCCTTCACCTCCTCCATCACATCACACAACTACACCCAGCCAGCTGTCAATCACTCTGCCCACTTCCTGTTTCCTGCTGCAGAGCCCGCCCACCAAGGAAGCTACAGCTGTGTTTATCACCTCCATGTTTTTTCTCATGACTTCTCCTCTGAGAGCCGTCGGCTGTCTCTCACTGTCTCAGGTAAGCTGAAGCAGAGCAGCTGAAACGTCACACTGACTGTTTCCATGCAGCTTTGGAAAAGATGATCTGTCCAAACTGGCGTTTTCCTGCCGTGCCCGGTGTGTTTGTCACTTTTTAGATTCCCCTGGAAACAGTTTCCGCTGTCTTCTATGCTACTTGCAGCGTTCCTATTTTATTTTCTTACTCTGCAACATTTTTTCTAAATGCTGTGCATGTGATGTTGTATTTGTGAAATAACGAGATCTGCTGTATGTTGACATCACAGTCATTGTCCTCACCGCCCTCTTCAACACAAATAGGCAGCTAGCTAAACTAAGCAGTAAGACCTGCATCAGGGTCCTCCACCATGTCCCCACAGCCAGCACTAGCCGAAGCCATCTTGTCTCTGGGATTTGCAGGTGGGAAAAGCAGGGGTCGGTTTTTGAAGCCACCGACACCCTGAAGTTCTGTTGCAGAGTTGTTAGCATGGAGCTGCTCACAGGAGTCAGTGAGCAAAACCTGGGCATGTTTAACTCCCACTCCAAGATGCAGAGTTCCTGCATCCTAGTGTGGAAGGGAAACAAGTCGAGTTTCTTTCCCACAGGCCAGAATCAGACACCAAGCCAAAGCCTGCTTAAACATGATTGGTCGATACTACCTGGACAACAAACTGAAACCAGAAAGCTTTCGATACCAAAATCTTGTCTCTTGCCTCCAGATTCTGCGTTCAGATATCTTTTGATTCCTGATGGACTGAAGTGGTTTTGGGAGATTTCAGGTCACTACAGTTTGTGTTTAACAGGAGCTGATGGACTCATGATGTTGTGTGATGTGATGACTGTCCATGTGTTTGATCAGATCCAACAGGTCTTCTCATCAAAGTGGTCGTCCTGCCGCTGACTCTGCTGTTGGTGATCGCTGCCCTTTGTTTCTACTATAAGGTACTGACACATGTCTGTTGTTTAGAGGACTGAGATGAAGCACTCGGTCTGTGTTTACTGACCTGAAGAAGAGGAGGAGTGATGCACTAACTCTCATGTGTGCTGTCATGTCTCTCCAGGCCAGCAGGGGGCAGAAGCCGGGCAGGCAGGAGAACATTGAGCTGGATTATTATAACGTGGGTGTTTCTGCAGCTGAAGGAGGGTCGACTGAAGAGGAAGGAGCTCGGGGAGCAGAGTAGGACCTCCAAGGAGCTCATCTCAGCTGCCTCACAACCCACCATCAGCTCAGTCAAGGATTTTACACTTTCATACTGATGTTCCCTTTAAACAATACGGCTGGAATTATTAGATTACATTATAAACTCTGTTTTTATTACTCTCAACATGAACAGAGCAAAACAAAAAACATCTTAGTCTTTTTAGATTTCCTGTGGCTCTCAGCTCCAAGCCCATTGGCTCCTACTGAAGACGTCAGATTTGATTTGGATTTTTAATTTACCAACAGGTTTCATTGGGCTGGCAATGACTTAAACAAGTGACAAAGACAGCAAGATATTGTGTTGTGATAAATCTTAACTTCTTCTATGTTGTTGTTTTTTAAATTTGTACTGAAAATGTCATGTCTTCCCACCCTCTGTTGAACCATGGTTGGCATTGTCAAGGAAATTATGTTCCTGGTAAGGGATTAAACATATAATTGCAACCAACCGTTGTCTTTGAAGAATTTATTAGCAAAAAGAGAATAAACAGAGAAGTACTACAACACATAGACAGCTGGTCCAGAGACCTGCCGCCGAGGGCAGCTTCGGGCGTCAGCATAATCATTTACACAGTCTAGGTTTCTATGTTTTGGGGAACAGAGATCCTCTCTCGGCCTTGAATGAATATTCCAGGAGAGGAGAGGAACCCTAGTAAATGGGGACAGACTAACATAAGGAGAATAGGAGATGAAAGGTTAAGGATAAAAACAAAATGCATATATATCTGTAAGACATAACAATAATAATAATATTAAAATACCATACATGAAAGATTAAATGTAAGAGGACACGATTTTCTGCCATAACAAGCATCATCAGTGCCTCAATCTGGACCCTGGTTACCCAAACAATTACCACCCAATCTTTAATCTACCTTTCCTCAATAAAATCATGGAAAGAGCTGTGGCTGCCCAACACCATGTGTTCTACATGATAAACTATTTGAATCCCACCAATCTGGTTTCGGTGTGCATCACAACACAGAGACTGCTCTCTATCCACATCCTGTTTTACCTCTCTGCAGCCTTCGACGCTATCTCCCACACCCTCCTTAACAGCCTCTCTGAACATCACCTTTAAAGACTTAAACATCACGCTGGTGCCAGTTAACAATGGTGTGCCCCAGGGATCTGTACTTGGTGAACCCCTTCTTTTCAATATCTACATGCTAACCCTTGGCTAGATTACATGGACTTAATTTCCACTGCTATGCTGATGACCCTCAGCTGTACATAAGCAACCAACTCTCAACCCAGCTGTACCCTTGCCACTTGTTAACTGCCTGCGAGACACAAAGACTTGGACAACTGCTAACTTCATCAAACTCAACAACAATAAAACTGAACTTATGGTGGTGGCTCCAGCGTCGCTGCTGAAGAAGGTCTTTGATGTCCTCCTGGAGGTAGATGGCTGCTCCATTTCTGCATCACCAGAAATGTGAAATCCGGGAATCATCCTGGACTCACCCTTCCATCCCAGTCTCACACCAATAACATCACAAAATCTGCTTTACAGGCTTCGGCCATACCGACCCAGGCGGATCTGGAACAATGTTAGCACAATACTGTTCAAATCAAATTAAATAAAAGTGAAGCATGTCAAGCACATTTAGCTCAAATCTGACAAAAAATCATCAAAATTATACAAATGGGAGCAAGAACACCTTTTTATGATACATTTTGTGTATTTCATAAGAATTCTGATTAATTTTGTAACTTTTCAATTAAGGTTTTAGGTGATTTCATAATCATGTTGAATCATTTAGTAAATAAGTTGCTTATTTTGTAAGAATTTCTCTTGTACTTTAAGTATTTTTTGCACATTTTGCTGTGAAATATCCTCATAACTAACTAAATAACCTGAATAGAAATATGAAGATGTGTGTAGCAGGAGCCTTCAGAGATCATAAAGATGAACAAATGAATAAAAATTTGATGTTTATTCTGCGTGGAGAGGACATCATTTTAGGACGTCTGTTAACCAGTTAAAGATGAACATTTTTATGTCAAAATAAGAAATGAAACACACCCTTGTGTTGCACAGAGAGATGTGGAGACAGACTTTCAGGGTTTTTGAAGTCGGGTCCAGCGGATCATTATTGGACGTGAAAAGGACGGCACCATGTGACCCTCTGCTCACAACCATTAAACAACCAAAACCTGACGTCATCAGGAGACATTCACACTCACCTGTGCAGGTGTGTTTGCTGGGAGGTTCAGTACACAGAGAGATGAGATGATGGAGATCAATAAATGTCTCACTGTCATCTGCTGTGTTCATACCACAATGGAAATGAGTTTGTAACTTTCTTGTGTTTTCCTCGACAGTTCTGATAAATGTATAAAATCACTGTGATGGCATCTTATAAAGCATTTATTTTTGTTACTGCCTAATAAATCAAAATCAAATCAAATCAAAAAATCATAGTCAATAAAGGAAGTTTCATAAACTGTGAGACTGTGTTTTCAGCTTGTGTATCTATCCGTACGACGTTGACACAAACGTCCACTTGGACTCAAAGATGAACTGATTAGAGTTTAGGGGTCAAAGGTCACTGTGACCTGAAGGTGGCCTTGACAAACATGTTTTTGTCATAACTCCAGCACAGATGCAGGGGTTCTTACAACATTTCATACAGATGTTTCACGGGAAACAACAATGAAGTGATGATTTTTTACCCAAAAGGTCAGAGGTCAGCTTCACTGTTTTGGCCATTATTCAACACCATAACTCAGGAACAGAAGGGGAGCTTGTGACCATATTTCACACTGAGTAGATAGCACTTTCTCAAAGGTCACTGACCTCAAAATAGGTTTTCAGCCATAATTTCAGAACGAATTGAGCGCTTCCGGATTTCACACGTTACCAGGGGCAACACAATGAGTAAACAATAACCAACACAGTTAATATATACATAATACTAACTTAAAATACACAATACAAAATACTAACATCACCTCCTGCCCTCAACTGGTACTGATTTATCTCTTAACTCAGGAACCTTAGAAACAGCTGTAGAACCAGATATATGTTTATACTGTTTTGCTTCCCTCAATCTTTACCAACTAACTTCAATAATTTCTTCATCTAAACCATCAACCTGCCTCTTAGACCCCATCCCGACTAGGCTGCTTAAAGATGTTTTACCCTTAGTCAGCACTTCTATACTAGATATGATCAATCTATCTCTATCAACAGGCTATGTACCACAGTACTTTAAAGTAGCTGTAATTAAACCTCTTCTGAAAAAGCCCAAAGTTGATCTGGATGTTTTAGCCAACTATAGACCTATATCTAACCTTCCATTTCTCTCTAAGGTCCTGGAGAAAGCAGTTGCTAAACAGCTGTGTGACTTTCTACAGAGCAATAGTTTATTTGAGGATTTTCAGTCAGGATTTAGAGCTCATCATAGCACAGAGACAGCACTGCTGAAAATTACTAAGGACCTCCTTATTGCATCAGACAAAGGACTTGTCTCTGTACTGGTTTTATTAGATCTTAGTGCTGCATTTGATACCATTGACCATCAGATCCTATTGCAGTGACTGGAACATTTAACTGGCATTAAAGGATCATTTAAGTAAACATTTTGTTCCGTTACTCTAAAACATGTTGTGAAGAATATGATACAGAGTGTTCACATTTACACAACCTGGAGAAAGACTATGGACAGCCAGTAGTTAGTGTGTTCTTCAACCAAACACAGTGCTGGTTCAAGCCTTCAATGCACACACACAGAAGAAGAAGAGAGCAACATTCAGCTTTAATAAAAGATTGTTCTGCCAACAGGTCCCTTTGTATTTCATTATAGACCATTAGTTTGTGACTTTTGTGTAAAACGTTGGTTGTGTTTAGGTGTATGCTTTATTAAGAAACAAAATATCTGGACCTCAGTCATCTCTAAACCCTGATGAGGACACCAGTCAGTCATCAGACTAGAGAAGGACTGTTCATTGGTAAGTTACAGAAATAAAACATGTAGTAAGAAACACTGAGTTGCAGTGAGATCACCTCTGTTAGGAACTGAACTGAAACACCTTGTAGAAAATAATTTCCTCCATGCAGATGTTTTGCTCTTGTTTTTATGGGATCTGAAGAGGAAACAGGTTTGGAGACAATCAGAAACATATCTATAAAAAAAAATCTTGTTGGATGTGATTCCTCAAAGTATTTCTCACGTGTCTTTCTTTTGAGTGTGTTCCTAAATATTTTGGATTGATATGTGAAACTTTAAACAGGTCAGACGGTCCTGCTTCATGATGGTGATGTTTGAATTTATTTGGAAAAAACCTCAATGGACAAAAATGTTTCTAGTTTTTGGCAAATTCCACAAGTATGAAAACTGATATGAACCTTTATCATCACTCTCTAGTCAAGCTGTAAAATAGATAAAGAAATAATAGAAAAGCAACAAACAATATTTAAAACCTCTTCATTTGTTTATTTTTATTATTGTTTGGCTCGATAAGACAACGTACATACTCATATTTGCTTGACTGACGCATTGAAAATGCTGTCAATTTAAATGTAATTTGTCCTCCTGTTCACCTTCTTTATGAGAATAAATTGCTCTGCATGCAGGTAGCGTATTAGTATGATTCCTGATTAAACATATTTGAGGCGTTCTTTTGCAGAAACAGAATCTCCATTTGTGTTTCTGATCCTGAATCTGGTCCCTTTTGTGTGCCCTGCAAATGTTCTTAAATTGTGTTTCTTTTGCGAACTTCAGGTAAAGTCAAACAAACGGGTGTTTGTTTATTCAGAAAGGCTTTAAGCCTGTAATACTCAGAGGTAATATTTTGATTTATTTTACACAATAGTAGGCCTATTCATTTCAAACCGTTTGATCCTTCAGTCATGTGAGTCGGCGTTTCTCATTTCTCCAGTTTATGTACGTGCACATGGTTCAGAGTTTACTTACAGGACGCACGTTCTGCCGTCAAGTTTGTTTTTCATAGATCACAACTTTTTCTTGGGAAGTGGCGTGCGCACGTTTCCAGCCCTGTTTTTTTCGTACGCTCCGTTTATAAATGAGGCCACTGGTCTTATTAAGCCACAACTGGTTTCCTCTGTAGTTTTAGTAACTAACTGAACAGTAACAGTAATCCATCACATCTGATTTCTTTCTTTTTGTATAAAATAGAACAAAGTGTGAAATCCAACATTTTCACATTTAGAGAAAAGACTGAAGAGAAATCTCAGAGAGATCAGAAACAATCCAGCACTGATCCACTTAAGTTACTCTGACATGTTCAGTCACTAACACCCTGTTGGCTTCACTGGACTATGACTAGTGTCTTTACTGGGACCTGTGTGGACCTGGATCTAGTCTCAGAGTCCTGTTTCTGTGTTTTAAAGTCTTATTGTGTCCCCTGCCAGCTGAAAGCTTCCTGCAGCTTCTGTCCAATAATCTGTCTAATTTATACTCAGCAGGTCTCAGATGAAGCTCTTCCTTCATGGTTGTGATGATGTTGTTGAACAACTCGTCCTGTTTCACATCAACACGCTCGGAGCTGGATGGAAAACCCCGAGTTAACAGAGCCAGTCCATAAGCAGCTTCATGATACTGGTTCTCCAGGACGGCCCTTGTTAGACTCAGTGAGACCAGATCACCCAGAGAGACCCAGACTCAGTTAAACCAGCTCCAGGATTCAGGACCCACATGTGAGGGAGCAATAAAGAGTATTTAGGATTCATTTCTGATTTGGATTCCACACACATGGAATCATTTTCATTTGCTGAATCATCATGAAGACGTTCAGAGCCTCTGCTGCTGCTCTTATTCCCTTTTACACTTCTGGAGGAATATTAATATTAGAATTTCCACTTTTACTGTCCGTCAGATCGGCCGACCAATCAACAAGCAGCCTGTTTCTGCCCGGTAACAGACGTCCTCATAGGATCCAGCCGGGGCTCCTCTCTGCTCCACCTGTGAAAGTGAGGGGAACATCCTGGATGATGGAGGAGCTCGGTGGATCTCTGGGTTACCGTCTGGAGGACGGAGGAAGCAGAATGACCCAGAGACAACATGCTGCCCGTGAGGACGTCCCAGCAGAGACACGGAGGGGAGGGTTACACCATCACTACACACATCACTACTGTGTGTGTTACGACAGTGGTGGCGGTGGTTCCAGCTTGTGGCAGATGATTGGCTGCTCCCTGATGGCTTGCTATTTAAGCGGAGAAGATCTTGGCATCTTCCTCCTCTCTTTACAGGCCATAGTCTGATCTTGTTTAAATAGGGGTGGGCCGCCAGTTCTGTTTCCCTTCTCTTGCTCCTGGTTATTTTAGTCAGGGAGGTCAGCTGCTTGTGTTTGGTTTTTGTTTGTTTGATAGGTTTGTGCTGATTTGATCCACAGTATTAGTATAACCAGTCGGGAAAAACGCTTAACCTTATTTTGGGGCAAAGTTGTCAAAGTCTTTCAGCGATCATCATCAAATTTTAATGCTGATTCTATTCATGTAGTTTTTATTCCCCGGTGACCTGTATAGGTCCAGTTCTGGCTCTCTCCATTCATTCAGACAGGAGCCTGGTCCTTGTTAATAGCTGCCCGGAGGCGTTGCCAAGATGGCGGCCAAGTGGTAGGACTTGCCTAAAAGGACTTTGATATCGCCCAGCCCTAATGTTGAACATTCATTTAATCTGCTCTGTCCTCATCCTGTATGTTTTATATTAGCACCGCTAACGTTAGCTTGGCCAATTGAATAGACTGTATATAAGAAGTGGACGTAGTCATCGTGAGGTCACCTGTTTGTTTGTGGACACGAGATGAAACAGTATTTACATGTGCAGAGACATTTGTATCATTTCAAGAGGGGAGTGTCAGTTGGGGACCCGAGCCTTGTTAATGAGGCTAGTTGCAGACGGGAAGAAGCTGTTTTTGTGGTGAGAGGTTTTGGTCCTGATGGACCGCAGCCTCCTGCCAGAGGGAAGAGTCTGAAACAGTTTGCGTCCGGGGTGGGAGGGGTCAACTGCAATCTTTCCTGCTCACCTCAGAGTCCTCGAGGCGTCTCTGCAGAGCGAATTATGCGCTGCAGCCTACCCTTGTCCCTGGCAGTGGCAGCAGCATTCCAGATGGTGATGGAGGAGGTGAGGATGGACTCAATGACGGCGGTGTAGAAGTGCACCGTCATTGTCTTTGGCCGGCTGAACTTCTCCAGCTGCCGCAGGAAGTACATCCTCTGCTGGGCCTTCTTGGTGAGGGAAGTGATGTTCAGCTCCCACTTGAGGTCCTGGGAGATGATGGTGCACAGGAAGCGGAAGGAGTCCACAGTGGTGACTGGGGAGTCACACAGGATGATGGGGGAGGGTGGGGCTGGGCTCTTCCTGAAGTCCATGACTATCTCCACTGTCTTCTGAGCGTTGAGCTCCAGACTGTTCTGGCTGCACCAGCTCACCAGATGGTTAATCTCCCACCTGTAGGCAGACTCATCTCCACCAGAGATGAGCCCAATGGGGGTGGTGTCGTCTGTGAACTTCAGGAGCTTGACAGACTGGTGACTGGAGGTGCAGCAGTTGTTGTACAGGGAGAAGAGACATAACCACAGAGGTCAGGGCGACAGGTCTGTAGTCATTTAGTCCAGTGGTCCTTGGTTTTTTGGGGACAGGGATGATAGTGGAGGCTTTGAAGCACGCTGGCACATGGCATGTCTTCAGTGAGGTGTTAAAAATAAACTCATTCATATTAAATTCAACAGGCCTACCAAACTATTAGGGCTGCACAATAGCATTGCATCGTCATCACATGTGCCCTTGAGCAATAGTCACATTGCAGGACGTTCAATGTCAAGCAAGGGCAATTAACTCAAACACCAACTTTTTTGCTGATCGATACAAAGGAAAACTTGCACTTTAACATCGCAATATATGTCACAGAAAAGAAAAATATTGTAATGTAGGTTTATTCTAATGTTGTGCAGCCCTACAAACTATGTTCATAATATCATAATATCATAACAGCCTCACTTTAGAAAAATTAAATCCATTTATTTTGACAATTTGTAGTAGATCTGATGTATTTAGAAACATTTTTGAAAAATCCTGAATATCACAGAACACAGACAGTGAGACCAGACCAGAACACCAGGGCAGACCAGAACACAGACTGTGAGACCAGACCAGAACACCAGGGCAGGCCAGAACACAGACAGTGAGACCAGACCAGAACACCAGGGCAGGCCAGAACACAGACAGTGAGACCAGACCAGAACACCAGGGCAGACCAGAACACAGACTGTGAGACTAGACCAGAACACCAGGGCAGACCAGAACACAGACTGTGAGACTAGACCAGAACACCAGGGCAGACCAGAACACAGACTGTGAGACTAGACCAGAACACCAGGGCAGGCCAGAACACAGACAGTGAGACCAGACCAGAACACCAGGGCAGGCCAGAACACAGACAGTGAGACCAGACCAGAACACAGGCAAGGCAAGTTTACTTGTAATGCACATTTCAACAACATAAAAGCAACTAAGGGAAATGTAAAAAACAACAGCATATAAAGAGTGAAATAGAACTGGCGACCTGTCCAGGGTGTACCCCGCCTTGTGTCCGATGTCAGCTGGGATTGGCTCCAGCCCCCCCGCGACCCTGTATGCAGGATAAGCAGTTGATGATGGATGGATGGATGGAGTGAAATAGAAAATAAAACAGGATAAAATACATTTTAAAGAGTTAAATAGGAAAAAAAAACAGGGTAAAACAGGATAGTAAAAGTCACAGTGCAGTACAATATTAATCCACAGCCTTACATTTTAATTTAATTAAAAGCAATGGTAAAAAGAAAAGTCTTCAGTCTTAATTTAAAAGAACTGACAGTTTCAGCTGACCTGCAGTTATCTGGGCATTTGTTCCAGATATACGGAGCATAATAACTGAATGCTGCTTCTCCTTGTTTAGTTTTGACTCTGGGGACAGAAAGCAGACCTGCTCCAGACGACCTGAGAGGTCTACTTTGTAGGTTACATTCTTTTTTACATGGTGTCCGCGGGGTCTTAAAAAGTCTTAAAAGTTAATAAATAAATTTGGAGAAAATTAAGGCTATTAAAAATTCTTGATCACCATTTAACAAGGTATTAAATTTAGATTTTCTATATGAAAATCCTGTTTGTCCAAAAATGTGTTTGCTAAGTGTAGATGAATGTATTTATTTATAATGCATCTACCCAAAAATACTAGACAGACAGAGAATAGCGACTGTGTGATTCATTTCTTTAATGTTAGGTGCAGGGATCTACCGTGCGCCTATTTCACTCTTAAACGCTCCCAAAAATAGATCCGTGCGAACCGGGAAATGATTTACAAGTACGTATTTTTATAAACTGAGTTTTTCCTCCATCGTTCACAAAAAATCTCTGTCTACATGAAACCGCAAAAACGTGCCACCAAGAGCTCGCCAAACCACCAGGCGCCGATATGACCCTAACCGTAAAGCCACGTTCAGCCAATCAGAGGCTAATAAAATGGTAAACAAAGCAGGCAGTGGCACACAATCTGACATCAAACACAGCAGATAACGGACGTCTCACTGTCTACATGACAACACTGCAACGAGTTTCTTCAGATCTTTACCCTGGCAGGACTTTTCACAAATGTTTGGTTTGAGTGGACCTGGCCTGATAATTACTGTGTGAATGGGACAAATGATTTGAACATCCATACTAGTTACGGACACAAACCATCTGTTGCTCCAGATGATGAGTGGACAGAGAGAAAACTTCTGTCTTGCTTCCAAAGGTGTTTTGTCCAGGTGCCGAGCGGACTGAAGTGTAAAGGAGCGTCGTTCCCTCCGTCCTGGACGAAGTCATCACGGGATACAACTGCTCTGCTTTTGAATGCTCAGCTGCAGATAAATGAACTTCCCTTCTGCTCTGAACTGTGACGGTGTGTTGAATTTCCTCTGCCGTCTGGGACTGGACCGGGTTCACCATGGAGGGAGAGTCCAGACGAGCAGTTCACCTGGGAGGAGGTAAGTTTAGTCTGTTTAAAGGGATGTTTGTTCACCAACCACTTGGATTTCTGCTGTTCTTGCAGAATCATCAAAATCTGATTCCTGGGAACACTTCCTGTGTTTTACGACCCTCTGGCCGGCATAATCTCCAGAACCAGATCTTTGAGACGCTTTCTGAGTCAGAGTCTTCCTGCTGGAGATGTACAGAGAACTCTCAGATAAAAGGAATATCTGCTGCAGGTCTTGTTTGCCTCACTGATCTGTGGGAGCTTGCTCTGTTACTTCTGTCTTTGTTGCTGTTCTCAGACTCTAATTCTAAATGAGCTGATTTTACTTTCCTAAGATGTTTATTTTTGCATAATAAGGGTAATGTATCCAGGGGTAGTCCCTCTGAGCAAGTTTAAATTTCTTGTTTTATGTTTATTAAGATGTTTATTAGGATAATGTTTAAGATGTTTAGTGAAAGAAACACTGAACTTCAGGGCCTTGTTGCTCTCACACACACACCCGGCCAGTCAATTCCGTAGGGGAAGTTATGGTGAAGGCCGGGATTCAAAAATGAATTAAACATCTGAACGAGAGACAAAGGGGCCTTTCTGGCTTTTAACAAACTGTTGCTGCTCTCAGGCCCGATAAAATACAGGACCCATGAACACACGGGGCCTTTGTACGCAGACTGCAGCTCTCAAGGTCATCACGTGATACAGCACGTGAACCTGGAGCACCAACTGTGGAATTGTTTTCTACCTATAACTAATAATATCAAGATGCTGTCCACTGTTGTTTTAATATTAATTATGTGTGGAGGAGGTCTGACCATGAGAAAGGACACATCAATCAGTGTAACACAGAGTTTGATGAGTCTGCTCCTGGGACCAGCTCAGATACACGTGACATGTATTTGTTTGAAATTATCACTAAACTTTACTGGAAAAGAAAACTATTAAGAATGAAAGGATGACCGTTCACGTTGGTTCAGTTACACTGAAGAATTCAGAGTGAGGGCCCATGAGGCCTCTGGGGCCCCGTCTGAAGGCAGAGAGGAGACGTCTTACTGAGGAATGAATCAAGTTCAACTTCCCACAGACTTCATGGACCTTTGATTTGGTTTGGATTAAAGCTTTTTGACCTTTCACCTCCTCCTCGGAGACCCGCCTGCTTCTTCCATTCCTTATAATACAGACGGTCAAGTTACGGAGCGTCATCTGAAACACACGGCACTTTACTGGCACACACTGACTATAGTTTATTTCTGTTTACCATTCTATGATTGCTTTTGTATTAATGTAAATTATCTGCTGCGTAGCAGAGGGAGGTACAAACACAATTTCACTTTACAATCTGTTGTAATCTGACAAATAAACCATGTCCCTTTCTGAACGTCTTAGTCTGTCTTAAAAAAACTCAATAAATACTTATCAGTAAGCACCTGGTGTTTCAGGTGTGTGCCGAATTGACCAGCAGCTCTTCCTGAGTCTGAAAAGCCTCGACAGTATTTTTTAGCAGGTTATTTTAGCTACTATTTGATTCATTTGTAGTTAAAATGACTGTTTTGTCAAACGGAGTCTGGTTCCCCGCTCGGTTCAGACGGCTAAAAAACGGCCAGCAAAACGTCTTTAAAACACACGTTTCTTCCACACGTATAACAACTATTAAACTGCGGGGAAACGTGAAGAATTCAGTCTTCAAACTGAGTTTTATGAGACATTTTACGAAGCAGCAGCAGCAGCAGCAGTGTTTACCTTCACTTCCTGCTTCCTGCGGACTCTGCACCAACAGCGCATGCTCCTGTCTCCAGGCCGAAAGAGACAAGATGGCGGCCGCAGCGTCCAGGAGGAAAAGCGTCAGACTGAAAGGTTCTGCTGGAAGAGACCTGGACCCGGACCGGACCGGCCGGGACGTCAGAACCGGGGTGAGTACACGGCTCTGGGACCTGAGCGGCACGTTAACTGGTGGTCACGTGACCTGGGCCCCGTTTCAGAGGCTGAGACGAAGGAAACTTTTCTGTTTCAGAGATCAGATCAGATCCAGAACTCCGTCTGAAGTCCGTTTTATTTCCTCATCCAGTCCAAATCACAGCACAGTAGCAGTGAAATGAAATCGCAACGGTTAGATCAGGGCTGCTTTCCAACTTTCACTTTAGTTTGGAGTGAGTTTCGGTGCGATACTTCAAACCTCCAGACGTCAGTGGGAGACCCGACCTCACCTGGTATCTTCTGTTGTGTAATTATTATCCTGTTTTTACTCAGCAGAGGTCTTCTGATCATTAGGTTAATGATAGTTTGGTAGGCGTGACGTAGGGCTGGACGATAAAACGATCCCGATCTGGCATCGCGATAAGATTTACGTAGACTACGATGATAAACTTTTGACCTGTTTCACTTGGTATGGATAGACCTAACAGCCCATTACAAAGCAGAAATAAACGGACAACAGCCAGTCAGATTTTGGCTTGTGCGTCTAAGTACACGCCCATTTGCTAGCAGAGCGCTGTTTGAGCTGCCGGCAGTGAAGAAAGCGAAAGTAAAGAGTAATGAGTGGAACCGACGGGCACGAAAGCGACGGTGAAAGTGAACTCGCGCTATCTTCCGAAGCTGATTGTCGATTATATGGAAGTGGTTTGGATATCTGAAAAGCGACGAAGCGCAAAGAAAGACGGTCTGCAAAATACGCTGTCGACCGGTGATAACCAAGACGGGAAACGCAACAGCGACCACACCGAGAGGACGAAAATGCCGGCCCATGTTAACGTTAGTCCGTCCACGAGTTTTTCCCAACATGCTAGTGGTTCTTCTGCTGTTAGCAGCGCGAGCGGGGCTGTAGCAAAACAGCAATCGATGGTGTCGACCGTTGCCCCATATGAAAAGCGATCAAAAAGGAGCTAGGATATAACCAGCGCAGTTTCTTACTTCATAGCAAAAGACACGATGCCCCTGAACTCAGCGCAGAAAGACGGGTTCAGGGATTTGATTAAAGTGCTGGACTCCAGGTACGAACTCCCTGGAAGAAAATACTTTTCCTCATCTTTACGAAGAGTGCGGTGGGAAGCTGGAAATTCTTCGCCACAACCACGGACCTCTGGTCCAGGCGCACATCAGAGCCGTATATGAGCCTGACTATTCATTACATTGACGAGGAGTGGGCTCTTAAGAGCAGATGCTGAATTATTATGAAGCAGATTATGAAATGTAAGGTTTGGGTTTGGGATTAGTGTTGTGTTTTGTTGTTGTTTGTTTTTTACTGTAATATTTTGCACCTGCCCAGGGACTGCAGCTAGGAATGAGCTTTTAGCTAAATCTGGAACAGTACATATATTGTGCATTGTCCCTGTTAACTAAATGAATAAATGAAATGCCTATTTTCCAGAGGACCATAGAGCCGAAACGATCGGCCGGGGGCTGGAGGATGCACTCGCATCCTGGGGCCTTTGCAGAGGTTTTATCAGCTGATAAAAAAACAAGGCACTTGGTTCGCTCATGGCAGGACATTGATGTCCTGGAGTCTGTCCACAAGCCTCTAAATCCACCTGTTGACTTCACTGATGCTCTTTCTGGTGAAGCCTGTGCTGCAGCTCTTCAAGGAGACAGATGTTTTCTTTTACGAGCGTCAAATCTGATTTATCTTGAAACACAATGGATAAGAAAACTAATGTTTCTTTATTGATGGTATTAAATGGGCCCGTGACTGTTCAGAGGGGCGGTCTGTCTGGAGCACAGACCGGTCTGTCTGTCATATTTAGTGCGGATGTGAACATTAAACACTTCATTTCAGTGGAAATGTTTTTATTCAGGCTATGTAAAGGCAAACACACAACTCTTATTATATTATATTATATTCAAGCATTCTGTATTTCTTTCCTGATTTAGTTTTCCCTCCTCTTTGTGTCTTTGGTTGGTCTCATCACAAAGCAGTGTGTCCTGTCCACTTCCCCATCTCAACAGTTGCACTGAAACACTTACGATGGCTGTTTAAGCCAAATTATTCTCTTCTTATCCCACTAATGTGCTGAGATCAGCTGGAAAACGCCCTGAGATGATCATTTGATACAAGCTCAGACACAAAGTATTGAATCTGTGTACTTCCCAGGAGGGAAACGAGCCTCAGAATCAGCCGAACGGCTCTAATTGCGAGATAATATCACCTAAAAACATCTAACCAGCCAAGTGTTAGAGCTGCGGACTCCCAAACCTGAACACTTGTTCACTGTCTGACGCTGCTTCTCTCTGAACTTTGTTTATAACATCAGCTGGTTAGCTAGCAAGCTCGCTCGCTCACTGAGGGGGCGCCAGTGACACAACACAGACAACAGCCTCCTATCAGACGACAAAGAAGAAGAGTTCTGTTTTTCTTCTTCTTTAGTGTTTATTAGCGCTCGGCAAACCGGCTGAAAGATCGCTGCCATGGTAAAAGAGCTTTTGCGCCGTTGTTTTGCCGCTCCAGTCGGGAAAGATCCTTTTGGGGCTTTTGACAAAACAAGCCCCGAGATTCTGCTCTGGACCTGCTGGATCAGACTCTCTCACTCAGACTCTCAGCAGTTCCCCTGCTCTGCACAGCAGCCACCAACCCGGTTCAGCACGCATCGATTTTCAGTCTGCCTGCTCTTCACCTGCTCAATATTCCATCCTTTTAACCCACAATAAATACTTCTCCCTTTCTGTGTCCTGCACTTGGGTCTCCTCGCCGTGCTTTAACAAAGTTATCACTTAGTTAGCCTAGCTGTGAGAATAAATAAACGGAGCGCTCTCTCTCTCTCTCTCTCTCTCTCTCTCTCACGCAGACAGACCATCTTCAGTTATTACCACCTGCACTGAGTCCCGTCAGGTTACAGCTGAATACAAGAATCCAAAAGTTCCACCGGAGTGAGTCAGAGATCGCTGCAAAATAGAGTCCCGTTCTGTTACCAGAACAGAGACCCGAGTCCACATGAAAACCATGTAACGACTGACTTTCACCTCCTTTTCTAGCTCTGTTTGTTGGCTTCACATCATCTCTTGGCTCTCTTTCCTGCTGCACCTGAATCAGTTTTTTCCCTGACTGCCTGCTCCTCCTCTCTGTGTCCTCTGCATGCACTCTGCTGATCATACTATTTCATCCATAACCTGACTTTAGTGGAATAAACTGGTGTTGTTTGTGCTCTGTGCTGGAAACAGGACATTCTTACTGTGATGGACTATATTGATGTATGTTTTGTTATACAACTCTCACAAAATCTGCTTCTAGATTTTCCTTTGTAAGTGTTTTTGATGCTATCTTACTATCTTACTGTGCTCCCTCCCTTTTCTCCCAAAACACAAGTGCCTGCTCTCACACACATGTGCTACTGCTGAGCCTGGACAGTTAGATACAGAGAGGAGCACACACACTCAGAGCTGTAGAGTTTTCACACTGTGATCTAACTTTACACTATAAAATAACACTTTACATGATGACAGTGTAGACCACCATCGCTCTAGTAATTAATGAGAACAATTCAGGCTATAAAGCTCCAAAATAATTGACAACATGACCTACACTGTACATTTACTGCCAGACTTTCAGCGTCACTTTCTGCTGCTCGCTCTCTCTCTCTCATTTGCTCGTCCATTTACTCGCTACACAAATACATTGCACATCAGTTGAAAGACCTAACTCCGCTGCTCTTATAATGGCACCTGTCATGTAGATGTCCTTCGATGAATGATTTTCTGGGCTCACACAGTGTGTGGGTGAAAATAATTTGCTACGCATTGAAATGAATAATTGAGTAATAATTGAGTATGTGCTGAATCTAGAGGAACTATGTCTCTGTCATGTTGTGACGACCTGTTCAGAAACTGATACTGTTTATATCATCCCACATCACTCTACAAAAAATCATCGCCTCCGCTGCAGAAACAAACGCCAAAACGCCATAATCAAACGCCCAGACCAGGATCTTTTTGCCAGTAGAGCGCCTGGTCGTAAGTCAGCCAAAGCATTGTTTCTTTGTTGCCCAGCTGGTTTCTTTTGTGTGTGTCACTCGAACCTTATTTTGTGATTAATTGAATTGTTATTGATTTCGCTGGAAGATTGGAATGAATTTATGTTGTTACTTTCAATGAACTGAAAAGACAATATTTTTTGCTTTTGTGGATTGATGGGAAAGAGCCTATTTTGTGTTTTGCTTACCAAGAGAACACCCTGAGAGGACAATTGGTTTTTTTGACATCGCATAATTTTGTGGTTTTAGTTGTGTGCGCATTATCCCAATACAAGCTGTTTTTAGAAACTCCTGAGTGTGGTTTTCATTATACTGTTGGGATCATTCAACATAGGGGGGGCGTCCATATTTTGATATATGGGTCCCTTGTGACATTTGATTAAAAAACATTAGTATCTTATATGTCAGGAGAGAGACCTGACTGGCACCCAGATATGAATAAATTATGAGTCAAACTGTCACAATGTGCATGTCAACATTACCCTATAAATAACAGATAGCCTAATGGATTTGTGATATTCTGTGAGTAAATAAACTCAGCTTTAATAGTTGAACATACCGGTATTAACAGTACAAACTTTGTCAGTGAAATATAAGGGCAAAAAAACAAAATAATCGTTCAATAAGGTTTAAGACTATCTGGCCAAATTAAACGAATTTTTATTTAATTTAATTATTTGCTTTAATTTGCGAGTTTCAGTATTATACCATGGAGCTAACCGTCTTTGTTTTAGTATTTTCTTTTTTATAAGGGGCTACAGAGTCGAGTGTCATTCGCAGCGAGCCTGCAGCACTATCAACAAGATGATCGATTTGGGAGGGACTGAAATTAGGAATAGGAATTTTTGCTCCCCTCCTACTGTTCATACTCCAGTTATATCCTTCTCTGCCTGATCCACTGGCTTAAAGCTTCGATAAACAAGGCGAAGAGGAGGGGCGAGATGCAACACCCTTGTCGAGTCCCGCGCTCCATTATGAATGATTCAGTGAGATCTCCGTTAATTTTGATCCTAGCAGTTGGGTTATTGTATAACCCTGAAATAACCTCAGTTACAGATTTATCGAAACTGAATTTTTCAAGCACCTTATATAAAAAGGACCACCTCACTCTGCCTTTTTGGCGTCTAAACGCAATACTAAGATCTTACTAATTTTTGCTTATCAACCTGCCTCCTTATGTGTAAAACCCTCCTAATGTTGTCTTTAGTCTTTGTTTGATGACACCCGTCTGATTTTTATGTATTAACCCTGGTAAAATTGTTTCTAATCTTCTTGACATGATAGAGGTGAACAACTTAGTCTATATTCAGAACACTAATGGGTCAGTAGTTACTACATTGCAATCTATCCTTTCCTTCTTTTGGGATGATAGAAATTATTGCTTCACTCCATGAGGGTGGGATCTTATTTTCCATCACCCGATTAAATGTTTTCAGCAACGTTGGGGCCAAAAAATCCTGCATTATTTTGTACCAAATCCATCTGCCCCTGCCATCTTCCCTTCCTTTAATCTTTTAAATGCTAAATGCATTTCTTCTTTAGTTATTGTGGATAGTAACTTTTTATTTTGTTCCTCTGTCACTGTTGATAATTCGAGTTCAGACAAGAAGGTATTGATGGCCTGGTTATTGTCTATATGAGGTTGGGAATATAATATAATACTCCAGAAAGCATTGTTGAAGTTTTTCCTGTTCAATTTCTATTTGATAATTTAGGGGATTCTTAATTTTGTGAATAGATCTCCCGCTTGTTTCCTAAGCTTATAAGAAAGAAGTTTCAGTGATTTCCCCCCTCCCTCATAGTACTGTTGCTTTATAAAAACAAGTTTTTTTCTGTACGTCCATGGTGTTCAAATCATCTATTTCTTTTTTAAATTTTATTATATCCGATTTAATATTACCATTATGAGACCTGGAGTGTTGGTGTTGCAGATCTAACAACTTATCTAGTTTTTGCTGACCTACTTTTTTCAGGTGAGAGGAAATACCAATTACTTCCCCCCTAATCACTGCCTTAAGTGCATCCCATAGTGTTCCCGGTGACACCTCGTCCTTATCGTTATATTCTAAGTACTCCTCTTTGTCTCTCTTCAAACGCTCTTTAATATTTGGGTAATTAAGAATGTTTGTGTTCGTTCTTTGTTTGTGTGTGTGATCTATTCTTCCTGTTCAGGCAGATATCAGCGTAAACCGGGTTATGGTCTGATATAGACCTATTTCTCAATTTTTTTACCTAAAGAGATCATTTCTAAACATGAAGATATAGTCTAACCTAGACATTGTGTGCGCGTGAATAGTGGGTATATTCCCTATCAGTTGAATGGCAGTCCCTCCACACATCAACTAATCCTAATTCGTCCATCAGGTGTACCATTCTTTTTCCAATATTTCTCGCATCACCTTTCCTGTTCGAAGAATCTAATTTAGCATTTAATGTGAGGTTAAGATCACCACCACATAATTCCTTGTTGTTGTTAATTCTAGGATCTGTTTATACAAGGACCAATTGCTTCCTGTGGGGATATACACATTTAAGAGACTCAGAGTAATACCATCAATCTTACCAGTTACCGTTATATATCTACCCTCCTTATCTTTATATTCTGATATATGTTCATAATTTAGAGCGGCGTACACTAAGATCGCCACACCTCTTCGCCTCCCCGAACTGTGAGAAGAATAAAAGACATGTTTAAAACAAAGCTTGTTCAATTTTTCATGTTCGCTATCAGACAGATGTGTTTCCTGCATAAAAACAACCTGAGCTTTATCTCTTTTAAGGTTAGATTGTGCTTTCCACCTTTTTACAGGATTGTGTAGGCTATTAATATTGATTGATACCATTTTCACTGATCTGCTACTCATCTGTAGTATAGAACAAATACACACATTTTAATAGGCTCCCCGCACACCCTTGTAAACACTGAACATGGAACACGTGAACAAATAACATCAAAAAAGAGGTAGTTCTAACTTCCAAGGTAGGGGTCCCTGGGGTGGACCCTGCTTCGCCTTTAAAGGCAACTTCTTCATCACTCAGTGGAGGAGGCCCTTAATGGCTAAAGCCTCACTGAGAAGAACACCCTCCAAAAACCTTGCTTATCTGCTTATTACACACCATTAAACTGAATAACAGTTTTTTAAGTAGTAAAAAAAAAAATAACAACAAAGTGGGTAAACCTCAATTTTCCGAAGGCGTAGGTAAGGTCCTCCTGAAGGCTCTGAGTTTTTCTTTGTAACCGGGGTCCCGCCTCTTGTTCGCTGCGCTGCACCCCGCTCCTCTGCCAACTCTGCTCCAGATCAGCTGCTTCAGTTGTTCACATCTGGTTATGCGATGACCTTCACCGCATAGCCTCTACTGGACATATCTACAGTAGTCAAATTTTAGTTTCTTCAGTGTATTTCAGCTTCAGCCTAGCTGGAAAGAGTCTGAAAGGGGATCTGCAGAATCCTTGCGCACCTCTGCGTATTCTCTTCGTTTCTTTAGGATGAGAGGAGGGTAATCATGGTCAAACTTACTTGTTTGCCATTCCAGGTAAATCCTTTTTTCTGCCATGCCTTACGGAGCACAAGTTCTTTGGTCTTAGGTGCATCGTCTGGCGGTGGTGGGCCTAGAGAGCGATGCGCCCGTTCGATGCACATGTCAAGCTCATCTTGGGACAGCTCCAAACCGTCACGCAGCAGCTTCTCCACAAAATCACTCATTGTTGGAGAGTCCCACTCTGCTGTCTCGGGTACACCGTAGATGCGGACGTTTTCCATTCTCGTACAGCTCCATGAATTTGTTCTCCAACCTTATTTGTAACTTTATTATTTTCGTCATGGCGTCCTCCGTGTTCTGAATCGTCTCCTCTGCCTTCTCAATCAGTCCTTCAGCCTTGTCCATTCTCGTGCTCATCTTGGACATTTCTTCCTTAATTTCCCCAAAATCACATTGTTTTCTTGGCAAAAGTCCCTCAATTCCTGAAGGACTAAAGTTGACAAAAACTCGGACCAGGTGCTCGGTACACTATAACGAAGAGAAGACTTTCAAATGAGTTATAGTTTAGTTTAGGTTTAGAGCTGATTAGTAGGTTAGAGTCGAAGATAGCTGCAACTCCACCTCCTCGGCCTGTGCCTCGAGGAATGTGAGTATTAATATGACTGGGAGGGGTGGATTCATTTAGGCTAACATATTCTCCATCACCCAGTCAGGTTTCAGTAAGACAAAGTAAATCAATATCATAATCTGATATTAGTTCATTTACTAGTACACCTTTAGAAGAGAGAGATCTGATGTTTAAGAGTCCACATTTAACTCTCTATTAGTTTGCACTATTGCTCCTGTGGTTTTAATTTTTATGAGGTTTTTATGTACAGCTCCTCTTCTGTTTACCTTTGATTTAAATAATTTCGATGGTCGGGTGACAGACACCGTCAATATGGGGTTTTGACTAGGTATTTCCGCCGTGTAATAAGCTGTTAGATATATCCATATCGAGTAAAATATATCCGTTTATCGTCGTAGTCTACATAAATCTTCTTACGATACGATAATGAGATTGTTTTATTGCCCAGCCCTATGTTCCACAGACATATTCTAGATTCTACATTAATGTTTCTAGATAGCTGGCTCCACCATGACATCTCACTCACTGTCTTTTTCTCTGTCTGTCTGTTATAGAAACGGAGAGGAGAGGAGAGACGCAAACGTCAGCACTGTGACAAATCCTTCACAACATCTGGATCTTTAAAGATTCATCAGAGAATTCACACTGGAGAGAAACCGTACAGCTGTGACCAGTGTGGGAAAACTTTCACTGCATCACGTAACCTAGAAGCACACAGACGTATTGACACTGGAGAGAAACCGTAGCTGTGAACTGTGTGGGAAATCTTTCACTGGATCAGATAAATTAAAAATTCACAGACGTGTTCACAGTGGAGAGAGACCGTACTGGTGTGAACAGTGTGGGAAAACATTTACTCAGAGTGGTCACCTTCAGCGCCACCAACGCACTCATGTTGCTTCGTGTTGAACATCTCAGAGCCAAGCTAGCTGTTTCCTCCTGCCTCCTCCTAATGCCAACAGACAACAGTAACTTTATATTTTGAGCAGCATGTATGTTATTGTGGTTATGAACCTCTACTGGCCTGCTGTCATCACAGACACTATGTAGCTACGAGGCCATTAATCTACCAAGTGTTTTCCTGAAGAATCGCTTGGCCCTGTTTCAGAAAACGGGTTTAGTGAAAACTCTGAGTAGGTTGCTGTCTGAGCCTGTGATGAGAGATTAAATTAACTCTAGATCAGTAACTGATGCTTTGAAGTAAACCTCCTCAGGAGGACTCTCTAGTAACAAACTCTCTAGTTTCTCTCTAACTTCTCCCCTTCCTGCGGAGCTGAAGCAGCTGTCTGAAACACTATTTCATTTCTTCTTTCATACAGTCGATATCAAAGGACGTACTTAACGCATTATCTGCAGAGGCTTTTAGAAACATTAAACTCCTGGTTAGATATTTGTTCTTTACCCAAATATGATCTTTAACAGGATCCACTCTGCTATTAACAGCTCCAGTATCAAACATCATACTAGTTTTAAAATCATTAACAAAGCACTTCCCTGACAGCCTGGTTGGAATTTCTCCAAATATCCAGGTCTTCACCTCTTCCATGCAGACTTAGTCTAATCCAGATCAATCCTGACATCCTCCAAAATAAGAAACGCTAAATTCCCTGTTTTGGTGAGATAAAGGGATCAGACATCTAGAGCCAGGGCAGAAACGTTACTCCATTCCAGGATCTAATGTAGTGTTTCTCAATGGGGGCAGTACCGCCCCCCAGGGGGCGTTCCGAGGAGGATAGGGGGCACTGGAAGCAATATTGTGGGTGGCGTTTGTTGGTTGGAAATTCTCAGGTGAGTTTACACCAAAGATTCACAACAATATGAGTTTAAACTTTAAAGTACTGCAAAAAACTGGTCTGCAACATTAAAACCTGTTAGTTTAGTCCACTGCGACTGGAGGAGACGTGTATATTTTCTCCTTCAGCTACTTGTGGTGCAGCTTCGTGCTGCCTTCACGGGAACGGGATGTCAGAGTATCATCTCTAAAATTTCACCCACATGGCGTTAACTGTGTAACTCTGGAAAATTGACTCTCTCTTTCTTGGTGGAAAAGTGTTAATTTCTGAGGAATACACCGTGAACGTCTGTTATCTCAGTGGTTCCACATTTCTAAGAGGGATATTCTGCTGTCGGACTCACCCTGAAAGAAACTTGGCTGCAACACCAGCGAGTGACGTGGACCCGCCTCGCGCTGTGAGTCGCAGACAGTTTGTGCCAAAGCGGACATGTACTGTAGTTTCAGCAGGCTATAAAAATTTAACGTTAAAAACTGAAGCCCTGTCTTGCTCTGTTGGGGATTGTAAGCGCCGCTTTATCAGAGGCGCTGAAGTTAACGTGTGGAATTATTCGTGAGCTTTCTGTCTGATCACAGGTGTCGGTTAGTTTCGTTTCCCCCGGCGTGAGCGCCTCCTCGTCTCATTCGGGTTTGTCTGTTAGACGGCGAGGGGAAACTTCCAGCGAATCAGTAACATAATGCAGTACAGGGCATGTTGTAAAATATTCTGAATTCTCTTTAAACAGGCTAAAGATGTTAGTCTCCCACTGCGACTCTTTTTCTTTACATGTCAGAGAACTCAGATATGTGGGAGAGATTCTGAATGTGCAGAAAGTTTTGAACATGAGCAGATAAGTTTATTTGTAGCGGCCTGCCACAATATCAAGGCTGACCGCACAGATTGATCTTTGATTTTTTTTTACTAGGCCTATTTAAAATCGTATTTGAGCTGCAGGCAGCGCATATTCACGCAGCACATCCTCTCGCTCGTCTCTCTCTCCCTTGTTAACACAGCTGCACAAATCTGTCCAACACAACGCTTCAGTAGACTCCTTGGCCTCCTTGACTGGCTCCAGTCCGCCTGCAGGGCTCATCGTGTGTGTTATGTGGATAATTTTAATGTTTTCTGGCAAAGAATGTCTCTTTTTAAGACAGACGGACTTCACCCAAACAAACGGGACTCAGAAATGTTAGCTGCGCACATACAGCATGTGGTGCGGTCCACACATGACTTACGTGAATGACTAATCATTCATGCAGCTCACCTGGACGCACCACCGCTCACTGAACAGATCTCTGCCTCACTGCCACAAACAACTGTCTCCACCTGCTGGCATGTAAAGCCGTCTGCTCCCAGCGCTGTTCCAAAGACTTCTATTCCTGTCATCATCACGCATAGACCAGTAAACCGAAATGTGCACATCCCACACAGAAATATTAGTAATCTCTTAAGGATTAGGACAACTGCACCAACTCCAGCACCAGAACAAACTCATTTAAAATGGCTCTCTTCAATGTGAGATCACTTTTAAGTAAGACTTTTATCTTAAATGATTTATCTTGTCTGCAAATCTAGATTTTATGTTTTTAACTGAATCCTGGTTGCAAATGAATGACTATAGCCAGCTAGCTGAACTGTGTCCGCCTCAATATGATTGTTTTAGTCAACCGAGGGTCAGTGGTCGTGGTGGTGGGCTAGTGAGCGTGTATAGGAAAAATTTTAAATGTCATCAAGTACGCTGTGATGAATTTAACTCCTTTGAAGTTCTCACTCTTAAAGTTGGAGGGCTGCAACCTATCATATTTGTTATAATTTATCCCCCAAAACCGCCTGGAGGATTTTTATCAGAACTTCCTGAATTTTTATCTACTCTGGTTTTAAATTATGACAGAATTGTTCTTTGTGGCGATTTTAATATTCATGTTGATGATCCCACCAATATTAATGCAATGACTTTTTAAATATGGCCACTTCTTTTAACTTCAAACAACATGTCAAAGGGCAAACACATAACCGTGGTCATACACTGGACTTGGTTTTTACCCTGGGTGTCAGCATTTCCTCTGTGGAATTAGTGGACATGACCATATCTGACCACAGATGTATTGTTTTTAGCTGCGATTCGCCGGTTACTCATGCCGCCTCACCAAGCTCCGTGTGTTCTCGCATCTTAATGAACAAAGTGTTTCAAAGTTTTGCGCATTCTTTCAGAGCCAAAGCCAACACCTGTCTGATTCCAACACCAACAATCTGGTCGATCACTTCAATCATATCTGCTTGTCGTCACTAAATATTACTGCTCCTCTAAAGGTTAGGCCTACGTCTAAAGCTAGTAAGCAACCCTGGATAAATGACAGCATTCGCAGCCTAAAAAGGGAATGCAGGAATGCAGAGCGCAGATGGAAAAAATCCAGTCTCCAAGTCCATTACCTCAGTCTGAAGGATTTATTAATTAACTACAATAACATGGTTAAGGATGCGAGAACTCACTATTTTTCTGAACTCATTACTACACATAAACACAATCCCAGGTTTCTGTTTAAGACTGTGGATCAGCTGGTAAACCCAACCCCTCCTTGTGCCTCAGCTGGAAGTAATGATGACTGTGAATTGTTTTTATTTTATTTTACCAGTAAGGTGGTGCCAATCAGAGCCTCTATTACCCCCGAGGCCTCTTACTCAGAGGTCCCTCACCAGCAACAAGAGAGTTTTAACCAGTTTTATCCCATCGACTTGTCTGAGCTTTTAAAAACAATATCACAAATGAGAGTGTCCTCCGGCCCACTTGATGTAATACCTACAAATTTTTTACTGAAAGTAATAGATTCTGTTGGGCCCCATTTGATCTCTGTTTTCAACAGCTCCCTATCTACTGGTTGTGTCCCTGATTATTTTAAAACGGCTTGTGTGAACCCACTTTTAAAGAAACCTGGTTTAGATCCCTCCCTCCCACATAATTTTAGACCAATTTCAAAACTGCCTTTTATTGCAAAGATTCTAGAAAGAATTGTGTCCAAACAGCTGCTCACTGTACTGGAAAATAACAAAATATTTGAAAAGTTTCAGTCTGGTTTGAGGAAGTACCACAGCACTGAGACTGCCCTGCTTAAAGTCACCAATGACCTTTTAATGTCTGCTGATGAAGGTATGTGCTCAGTCCTGGTACTCCTGGACCTTAGCGCTGCTTTTGACACCATTGATCACAACATCATGTTAGACAGACTGAGGCACTGGGTGGGGATCTCTGGTACTGCCCTAGAATGGTTTTCATCCTACCTGTCAAATAGGAAGTTTTGCATGTCTGTAAACAACTATGTCTCTTCGTTCTGTCCAGTTAAATATGGTGTGCCTCAGGGGTCGGTCTTAGGACCCATTTTGTTTTCCTTGTATCTGCTTCTCCTTGGACATATTATCCATAAACATTGCATTTCTTTTCATATTTATGCTGATGACACACAAATATACTTGCCCGTCAGATCCACAGACCCTGGAATGCTGAGTTCACTTAACAACTGCCTTTGTGAAGTTAAAAAATGGATGTCAAATAATTTCCTCCACTGAACTCAGACAAAACAGAAATCCTGGTCATTGGGTCCCAGCAGATGGCAGTATTTGATATACTGCCATCTGCTGGTTTGCTAGTAAATCACATTAAGCCTGTGGCAAAGAACCTTGGTGTTTGGTTTGATAGTAATTTAAATTTCGAGCAGCACACCACAAAGCTTGTTCAATCATGTTTTTATCAACTTAGAAATATAGCTAAAATTCGATCTATGTTAACTTTTAAGGACACCGAGACCATTTTACAGGCCTTCATCTCATCACGCCTGGATTATTGCAACAGCCTTTTCATCTGTTTAACCAAAAAATCTATTGATCGACTCCAGACTGTCCAGAACTCAGCTCCCAGGCTTTTAACCAGAACAAAGAAATATGACCACATTACTCCTATTTTATCTTCATTACACTGGCTCCCAGTATGTTTTAGAATTGACTTTAAAATTCTATTGATCACTTTTAAAGCTCTTCATGGCCTCTCGCCTTGTTATATTTCTGACCTTTTAGTCCTATACGCACCAGCACGTACCTTGAGATCCTCAGGCAGAGGTCTGTTGTCTGTTCCAGAGTCTCGACTGAAAACTAAAGGGGACAGAGCGTTTGCTGTCAGGGCCCCGAGGCTCTGGAACAGCCTGCCCGAGGAAATCAGGTCGGCTGAGTCAGTGAACTCTTTTAAGTCCCTTCTTAAAACATACTTTTATAGGAGAGCCTTTCCCGATCTTATTTGACTTTATTTTATCCCTTTTATTTTATTGTATTTTACTAATTTTATATTTATCTTAAACGTGTATTTTAGTCTTTTCAATGTTTTCATGCTTTTATCTTGTATTGTTTTTGTATTATTGTTTTTACACTTGTTAAAGCACTTTGTAATTTTTTGAAAAGTGCTCTACAAATAAA